CTCCAGAATATGTTTCCTCTACAGGCCTTTCCTCATCCATACTCCCTATGTCGTGATTAGAAACTGCCATCTTCCAAAGCGCAGCACTGGATTATGAGACCCATTTAATTTTTTCACCATCAGTATTATTTTTTTTTTACTCAGTAACGTGAGGGGGTTTTAAATGTAGCAAAGTAAAACTTCTTAGGTTAAAATTTACTCGAGTAAAAGTAAAAATTGCATATTTCAAAAACTACTCAGAAAATTACAAATTACTCATACAAAGTACTCAATTACAGTAACTTGAGTAAATGTAATTCATTACTTTCCACCCCTGACTTTTGGCTACTTTAGGCCGCAAAAGGAAATGTAAGACAACAGCAAATATAGTAAATTAAGCTAAATTAAGTTATGAAGTCATAAAAGATTTGATTCTAATGAAATGGGTACAGTGTTGTCCGAGTGACGTTGCCATATTGTGACGTCCTAAGCAGGGGCAGGGCCAAAGCAGATCTGACCACACAAGTGGATGTGGGACCTAAACTGGAACATCATTTGTATCAAACCATTGTTGCAGAGCATTGGCCAAATGCAACCTTCAATATCTTCTGGGATTTTTAAGGGATCCTCGCCCTCTGCAACAGAATCGTGCACATACATGGCGTTATTGCATGAGACAAGGTGAGTCTTCACCATGTTATCCACGTCAAAGTGGTTCAGAATCAAACAAAAGTGGTTTCCTTCAATAATCTCCTTCCCTCAACCTAACAGAGGAGTTCTTCACTTCATGATTATGGGAGGTTTATGTCCAGCAACCCTACACCAGGGAACATCTTACATGCCATGGAACTGGCAGTAATAAAACAAACCTCGATGCATGCCATGCGTGGAGTCAGCATACCGGGAAATATTTCACACGCTGCCTTGCTAAGGAGAATGTGGCCTGTGATATAGATGAGGTCCTGAGGCCTGACCCAGCATGCCAGCATGATGCCATAGACTACATACTACATATGTTCATTTTCTATATTATTTCAAATAAATCTTTTACTTAAGGTTATAAGTAGGGGTTTTACTTTAGAAATGGATTTTATTTGTGCATGGTAAATGTTGTTTCAGTGTCTTAAAGATCTGATTGTATACCTTTTTTTCTGCTAATTGGTATTTTTTACTTTGATTACGTAAGGGTCTCATTTGCCAATGTTTGTTTTAATAGTGCTATTTAAAGATGTAATACTGTAGTTTGGTTTTTTAGGAAGAGTCCGAGGTTTAATGAAAACAGTTTAAAAATAATAGAGATTCAAAAATGTGTTGTGACATTTTGATTTGAGAAAGCTTCCTGGATGGGAAGCAAAACGTCTTCAAACTTTGAAACAACGTCCAGAAGATTGTTTTTAATTTTCTTTTTTTTAATGTTTTAATAGAGATTCAAAAATGTGTTTTGGCTATTTGGAAAATATAGTCTTCTAACTTTCTTTTAAGAACAATTTTCCTTTTAAAATCATTAATGTTTTGTAAAGAAAATATGTCACTTATGCAATGGTTAACGCAACTAAGAAACGTTTGATAGCATTTTTATTTGCTTTAAATCACAATCTTATCAAGATTTGTCGATTCCTCTTCAAAGCAGCCAAAAGATAAGTGTTATAATAGAGCGCTGGTGAAGATTCTCAGTCATCCAGATATTATTAATTCCCCAAAAAAGAAAATGATAAACAATCTACTGGACTTTGTTTCGAACTCAACGCTATTCCTGACATTTTGAATTGAAAAAGCTTCCTGGATGGGAAGCAAAACGTCTTCAAACTTGGAAACAAAATCCACTAGATTGTTTTTAATTTTCTTTTTTTGGAATGTTTTAATAGAGATTCAAAGATGTGTTGTGGCAATTGGGAAAATATAGTATTTCTTTACAAAACCAACTTATGTTTTGTAAAGAAAATAGGTCACATATGTAATGGTTAACTCAACTAACAAAGGTATGGTAGAATTTTTATTTGCTTTAAATCACATTCTTATCAAAATTTGTCAATTCCCCTTCAAAGCAGACAAAACTTATGTGCATCTTTCAAAGAGTTTCCCTAAACACTATAAAAACCGAGATAAAAAAGAAAGCCTCAAATAAGCTGACTTTATATGGCATCAGTTGTGTTCAAACAAACCCTAACCCAATAATAAAGTTAACAACTTTGATTTCCAGCAAACTGCCACTCCGGGCTTTTGGTTTGTATTGGACAGTAAAAGTTCAGAGTGTTTACAAGATGCTCCGTCGTAACCAAGTGAAACAGATGAGAAAAACGAGGAGGAAACAACTGGGAGGAGGTGAAGTGCGGCAACAAAGGAGGAGAGGGGAAGTTGAAAATGCAGCTGATGAGAGATGACTGCGGAGAGAAAGGAGGAGGGGACGAAAGGAGGAGAGAACAGTGAACAGGGGGTGATTACAAACCAGAACCTAACAGACTAGATTAGCCTTGTCACAGCTTAGAACGGCACGTCTTTGGATATCACAAGCCTGAAGGGAATATATCTACAATACAGAATAAAAGACAGACAGGTAAGCTTTTACTTTTCTCTTTAGTAGCTATCAGCTTTTAACCTTTCTTTTTTTTAGCTGTATTTTATTAGATACAGACTTTAAAAACTATACATTTAATCAGATATTAATCTATTTACCTGCTAACTTTAAAAAGGGGAAAAATTTACAAATCCAGGTGGTTGTTTTTATATATGGCAAAGTTTTGTGAATTATAGGAAGCAAAATATCCTTTCAAAATATTAGGGTTATGAGGCTTTAAAAAGCTGAACTAAACATTTAGCTACCAGTGTTGTAGTCAAATTAGAAAATAGGAAATAAGAAATTTAAATACAGTTTTTGGTTTGGTTAAATTTAAGAAACTAGAACCATTTAATTAACAAAATGTTTAATATGACAGCATTTGGCTCATTTTATTATGAAGTCAGTAACTTTTTCTTTGTTTTATCAAGAAACTGCTTTTGATTTATTGTATTTGTTAAGGTTGAAGTGTGTAGATCTGATCTTTATAAGTTTATCATACACAGAATAAGAAATCTTAAACTTCGGAAACATAAAAAACTTCAACTATATATATATATCTTCATATTTCCTGCACCTACTTCATACCTAACACTCTTTATATATCCTTAATACAAATATTTAAGACACACATCACTAAGCTAAAGTTCCCATGACAGCTAACTTGCTAAATTTACAAGCTTTTCTCTACCGTAATAATCTGTCTCTATTCATTTGGTCTATATGTTGTTTATTTTGAAATAAGTTTACTACAGAAAATCATCTGAATATAACAGCAAAAACTTTCGCGCTCAAAATATTTCTATGAACAAGTATCTCAATGCTTGCTTTAATAAAACAGATTTTCCCAAAGACAAATAAACCCTCACTTTTGCATTAATGTAATGTTAATGTATAGCAGTTTTAAAGTCATTTTCAGTAATCATAAACAACATATAGATTTATAATAACTATTCTAATAATGCTTTATGACTCAATAGAAGTTATTTTTTCTAAATTACCTTTCTTTCACCACGTTTTTTCTTTTGGTGCAACAATAGAAACCTACAACGCAGTCTTTTTAAGCTTTCTGGACTTTCAAGTTACATAAATTCTTAGCTCTGAACATGAATTTATGCTTTAAATCTAAACAATTTAGATTTAAAACTCAATTGTACATCTTCCTCTTACTATTTTGTCTTAATGAGATTTTAAAGATTAGAAACAAAGAATATTGAGGTTTTTGTTGAAGCAACGTTGTGCAGCATTTAGCCACTAGGGGTGCTAGACCTATAACTTCCAGCTTTAGCACCCCAAGAGGTCACTGGAAACACTGCATTGTCTATAACTGAACAATTAAACCTCAGTGTTTTGGAATCTGGTAGCAGAACCATTTGGAACAGCAGATTAAGAAGTCACTTGTAAAGACAAGGCCACATTTACCTCTCTAGATTAAATCCCTAAACAACCAAAATATCTGATTAGGTCACATCACTCATTCAGTGACAGATCCAACCCTGTCAAGTTACACAGGGGAGTTTTTGGAAAGGGCAAAACTTGCACAGTGTTGCTTTAATATGATCTCCATCAGGGGTGGATTTAGGAAATTTGGGGCCCTAGGCAAAGACAGGCATGGAGCCCTATTAATTAAGAAGACAACACATAAAACAGACCCATTATATGGATACAGAAATGTTTATAGACATACATTATTTTTTCTACCTTTTGTCCCTCTCTTCTTAACCTTTTCCTTGCTGTTTTCCTGTCTATGTTTTATTTTGTCCCCTTTTCTTTTCATATTGCCAATGTACTCAGCTGACTTTTAATGCTAACTTAGCTGATTGCTCCTTCCTGTGTTTCCAAGAAGGTAAAAGTAAATAACACAATCCTTCTTTTCACTGTAGACAATCTAATGATAGCTGCATGAATCATGACAGCAGACAAAATAGAGGAGAGCAGGAGGTGGGGTTAACAATCTACTTGCTCTGGAGAGCAGAGTTTGCTTCCTTTTTATGTTGTCGCAAAAATCTCTAGTAGCAGAAAAAAGCAGCTAGATTTGGCACTAGGCGCTTTTTTCAAATAAAAGTCCTAGAGGAGTCTGAAAAGTCACTAAATATTGTGACAAAAGCGCTAAGATGGCAACACTGCTCTTTGCATCGTTTGTTTTCAAATGGTTTACTGCTGTCTGTTTGGGCCTTTCTGAACATGTGCAGCAAATAGACTGATGAGACACACTTGATATTATAAGCATTCTGATGGCATTTTAGCGGAAGGATTATTATCAAAAACATAATTAGTGTGCACAAATAAAGAATAGTTCTAATAACCATTCATGTAAAAGGAGTTTTATTGGGCCCCCAGGATCTTGGGGCCCTAGGCAACTGCCTAGTTTTGCCAAACAGTAAATCCGCCCCTGATCTCCATAGTGGTGCCACCACAAGCTAACCCTGGTTTGTTTTTCTCTTTTCTGCAGATTGTCTCCAAACAATACGGTGATCTGGTAACTCACGACTCCCATGCTGAATCTCTTAAAGAACCTTATTAAATCTTCCTGCACCACTTATCCACAAGGAGCTTCATTAAAAAGTCCTTCTGGCAACCGATTCTTTAGTGCTTCAAAGTGTTGGTTTCCAAGTAAATCTTTATTCTTCAATGACTTTCTCAGCCTCTACCTCAAAGTTTAAGATGGCTTCTGGACTCCATGCTTTAGATTCAGTAATGGGTTTAAGGGCTAAACTCCCTTTCAGAGTGGAACCAGGAAAACCTTCTATGCCGACCATGTTCACCTTGATGCTGTTTATCTGGTGTTTCCTGTTTGTCTCCCATGTTGGCTGCCAAAGTAACTTCACACCTCAGCCTCTTCAGTCAGAAGTGGGGATATCTGAACTGCCCAACAACGACCCCCCTCCTCGACTGGCCGCAGTCCATCGTACTTCAAACACAGAGACGCATATCTCACAAGAGACTGTTAATAAACCGCCAATCTCGTTGGACTCTGAAGAAGGAAAACTGAAGGCTTTGAACAAACCTAAGCCCAAACTTGATAAAAAACCTCTACCGCCCATATCATCCTCCAACTCATCAAAGACACAAACGCCCCCCTCCTGCCAGCAGAAAACCTCAATAAAAAGTGCTTTCAAATATGTTAACACAGTGCTGTCCTGCTTGATCTTTGCTGTTGGGATCATTGGAAACGCCACCCTGCTGAGGATTATCTACCAAAATAAAAGCATGAGGAATGGACCCAACGCCTTAATAGCCAGCCTCGCCCTGGGAGACCTCATATACATCGCCATAGACATCCCAATCAATGTCTACAAGGTAGAGTTCTTCATGTATTTAAGCCTTTTGCTTAATTGGTTATTTCCAAACAATCTAATTTGGTTGTATCGAATCAGGAAGAACTTTCTGGCTGTAGCTCCTTGTGTTGAGAGTCTCTGTCAGGAGGTTGAGTGTTATGCTGATAAGAGCACAAAAATACCCCTTTGATTGTGATAACACACCCCACACACACTTCCTTCAGATAGATCACAAAGACTCCCTGGTATCATGTTAATCTCCTGATGACTCGTTGCTTTTTTCTTCTGTGCAGCTCCTGGCGATGCAGTGGCCCTTCGCAGACAGCCTCTTTGGTCTTTTCCTCTGCAAGCTGTTTCCATTCCTGCAGAAAGCTTCAGTCGGCATCACCGTCCTCAACCTGTGTGCTCTCAGTGTGGACAGGTAATGCATAAACACAAGTTGGACTTGCAAATTTAAGCAAAAAGCATAGTTTTATAGATGGTCCTAAAACTATGTAAAAGAGACTGTAGAAAACATGCTTGCAAGATCAACCATTAAAGATTTTTAGAATAATGCTGCGATTTTTTAACCTTAACAGTCTATGAAATGTAATAAAACAAACATCTGGATCTTGTTGGTGCTTATTCTCTTTAAGATATCTATAAAGTTGTTTTAAATGGATCTACACTGGTTTGAGGCTTTTTTACTCCAAGCCCAAAAGGGAGGAGAGATTTTAATGCCTTAAACTGATGTTCCTGTGAAAGGACATGGTTTATTGTAAAACAGCTGCAGCACAGAAAAGACAGAAAAAGATTTGAGCAGATGGCGTTTCTGTCTCTTGAGCCGACTGGGTTTATACCAGAATTGGATAGTTTTTAGTTTTACTTTGTGAACCCTTCATAAATCCTCAGGCAGGTAAGCTTGTTGACGGAGTGTTGTAATCATAGACCTATTACAGTAGACACAGCATCACCCAATCCAACACAACTTAGAGCTCTATGCTGCTCAACCATATAGTTACCTTCCTGTTGTGAGAATATTGGGTTGTTATGTTGAAGGCATTCAACACTGCAAAAATGATCTAGAAATAAGTCAAAATTTCTTAAATAAAGCTTTTTTTTTTTAACCCTTTTTATCCTTAAACTGAGTAGGTGAATAATGCCAATGGATAGTTAGATAATATGCACTTGAAATAAGACAATGCAATTTATTTTCTTATTTTAAATGTAAATTGTCTTGTTTCATTGGCAAAGTGTCTCACTTACCTACTCAATTCAAGAAAAAAATGCATTTATTTTAAGAAAGAATTACTCATTTAGATTTTTTCCAGTGAAGGAGCTGACCTGATCTTTAATCATAAAGGTCCTTAGAGAAAAGTGTTTTAAACTAAAGCAACCAAGATTAACTTTACCCTTAATCCATGTTTGCTACTACAAACGAATAGTTTAAGCGACACGTTTACGTTAACATTTTCCCTTCCCTTATGGCCTTTAATTTGACAAAGCAAAAATCCATTTAGTCATTTAGAACTATAATGAAATTAATTAGTACTATGTCTGAATGGTGAGACATTGAGACAGGAAAAATAAAAAACATGGAAAAGTTTAGCTATTAGGAAGGAGATGGGTTCCATGCCACAGAAAAGAAATGGATTTCAGTAACAATGAAACCTCTCATACAGGAAAAGGTTTTTACTTTAAAACAACTGGCCTTCTCCAGTAAAGAGCTGCAATTGGACAAATTTTGCATTTGTCCAATTGTGATCTACAAATAAGGACCTAAATTTTTGAACATATGCCCTTTGGTCTAATTAAGCTTGAAAAGTTTGGCCATGGTGGCTGCATTTTTTAGGAAAAATGAGGGAAGCCTACATGCCTAAGGAGCCTAACTGGTAAGCCTGGTGGTAGGAGCATCATTTGTTGGGGAATCTAAAGGAGTAAACTAGAATACACAGGAAATAAAACACATGAAATAACTAAAAACTAAACCACCACAGATTCAACTAATATGGGAAAACCTTTTAAACCTAAACACTGTCGGTTGAGCTTAAATTAGTTTCATTGATGCATAATTTAACTTTGTTTGCAGGTATCGTGCCGTGGCGTCCTGGTCCCGGATTCAGGGCAACGGCGTTCCCACGGTAACGGCGATAGAGATCGCTGTAATCTGGCTGCTGTCCATTGTCCTCGCCGTGCCGGAGGCCTTAGGCTTCACCATACACACCTTCGAACGCCATAACATCACCTTTAGGACCTGCATCCTGCAGCCCCAGACTCCCTTCATGACTGTGAGTTCTCACAGGTTGGAGCTGATAGTGTGTTCATGTGTGGGAGGCGTTTCTGTGTGAGGTCCACATGTGTGTGGCAGGGTGAGTGCGTAGATAGACATCTGTGGCGGCTGACTGCAGCTTCTGTAGTCATTTATACATAAACACACGTTTCGAAGAAACTTTAAACATTTATTTCTGCATCTAAATAAACAAGTTACCTCACTAAAAAGGATAATTGTGGAAAAGAGAGCAAACCCATCCCATTAAGTCTCAGATTTTCCCAAAAGACTGCAAATCAAGTTGATTTTCAATTTCTATAATCCTGTAGAAGAGCTCCATGGTGGGTAATCATGAATACTTTAGGGTGGAGGGGTTTAGGCCCAGCTCCACAGGACCATGCTTTATCTCCAGCAGTCTGGTCCACTTCCATGTCCTCTTTGTTGTTGTGTTTCTGGGCGAGGTCTCATTGACTCCGATAGTTTAGAGCTACATTTCCTGTTTATGTCTCCAGGTCATGACTGGAACGAAACATGCTCTGAACAGGCACTTAAATCTGAACCCAGGTCAGCTGATTTACAGTCAACCATTAGGCGGAAAACTTTCCCCGCTGCTACTAAAACCCAAACTGATGGAAGAGTTAAAACAAACAACTCTTAATCAATAAATCACCTAAATAATATTGTAAAAAAAAAAAAAAAAACATGTTGTAGAGGAATATCATTACAAAATGGATGTAATACATCACGGTGAGGAGGTCGAAGCAGGATATCTTGTTTATCTGTATGGAGTGTTATTAATGCTCAGCCACTGTTCTCCATTGAAACAATAAGCTTCAGTTTTTAAGCTAAGCATCTGGAACTTCGCTTGTTAACATCCTGCAGCACTGAGTCAGATTTATATCCTTGTACTGATTGAAATTTTCCACCTGTCATGACAAGGCTAATAGGATAAACCTGGAGCTGAAGCTGCTTCCACACAAAAAAGGTCTGTCTGTGAAATAAGTTTTAAAAATGGAATTGCATCAATCCCATATGAGTTGTTAATTAGGCTTAACCTGTACGTCCTCTTATTGTTTTTTTGGATTATCTGCCTGACTCGCCGCTGTTCTAGTGGAGTTAACTGAAAATAGTATTTTTCTTGACCTCTGACCTGGCTTTGAAGCTTAGTCCTCAACATTTTAAAAAGGTTAAGTTCCTTGCTGGCTTTATCCATTACAAACCACTTTACTTTTTTAGTTTTGTTTTGGGATATTTTACCAAATGATCAAGCTCTGACCAAAACTGAAACACTCAAATAAAAATGAATTGGTCAGGGTCATCAAGATGAACCCAGCCAGCATTGAGACTTAATTTCCTCATAAACTAAAAGCTGCTGAAGCACCAGCGTCAGTTTCCACCCTAAAGCCAATTTATTATCACATACTAGTTGAAGGGAAGGACAGAAAGGAGCTCCACTAACGCTCACTGACATTAGCAGCTTGTGAACAGATAAGCCATTTTTTGTCCAGCAAAGTTTGGATCAATTCAATTCAGTTTATTTATATAGCGCCAAACACATGTCATCTCAAGGCACTTTACAGTTCAACCAGATCATACAGTCAAATTGATTCAAAGTTTTCTATCTAAGGAAAACCAGTTGATTGCATCGACTCATTGACTCAAAGGCAATCCCTCACACTAGCATGCTTGTAGCGACAGTGGAGAGGAAAAACTCCCTTTTAACAGGAACAAACCTCCAGCAGAACCAGGCTCAGTGTGAGCGGCCATCTGCCGAGGCCAACTGGGGTTTAAGGAGACAAAAGTTAGTTCTGTTTGGCTGTAATATGATGGTGTTGTGGTCATTCATGTAAAACTTATTCTTTTAGATTTCTGTTTAGTTTTATACTGTAGACAGAATACATTAAAGTTAGTTTGAAACAAATTTCTTTTTTATATTCTGAATTGTTTTATATTACTCTGATAAATGTTAGCCCCGCCCATTAATTTAGACGATGAGGAACACAAAACAGGGGCAGGGAAGATGTTTTGTTGTTGTTCAAATGTCTGGTCTGAGGACGTGAGGTGGTAAAAAAAGATTTTTTGACTAAAATGTTTTGGCCCTCCATGTTTCAAAACCAAAATTTCCCTGAAAGCCGTGGATGGCAATGGGAGGTGTTTCATATTAGCACTTTTAACCATTTTTGAGGGCTTTTATTTAAGCTTTGAGATATTTTTTTTTGTTATATTCTGTCTTTTTTATTGCTGGAAATAAAATAAAAACATTCATTTTTCCAATTAAGAAGTCAGTATACGAAACACCACCTGTTGCCACCTTTTTTTTTGGAACATGGAAGGCTGCTACAGATGGTAATAAGTGAAGAATTGAGGATAAAGCTTTAAACCCAATCAGTGCTTTAATTGTCATCTCTGAAAACAGGTCACTTCACATAGATGGTGGGATGGTAAATGTTTAACAGATTATGTGATTATTTCACCCTAAAGAGAGAACGGTTAAGCTATCAATTAACTTTCATGAACTCGTATATAAACTTCTGACAGGATCTAGTGCAAAGCTCCTGTAATGATGCAGGTTATCTATTTAGTTGTTTCATGAATTTGTCTCATAGCTCCCTCAATAAATCTGCTAACATTTTTATCTTAGATATTTGCTCTTTTGGCTTAGTAAAATTCAAATATTGATTATTTTTTGGACCAAAGAAGATGAAAACAGGGGAGGGATGGGGTTGGGGGGGCTGAGATGTGCCTATCTCCAGCAGCCCTGAGTGAAATCTAATCAGAGAAATTAGGCAGGAAAAAGATCCTCCTTAGTAGTCAGCAAACATCCGGCAGGATTAGGGAATTAGCAGGAATTCATTTCTGTAACCCAGTTATCAAAGCGACGATCAATCAGACATGGAGGCAACCGAATCGCTTCAGGTAAATGGTACATTTAAAAATGTTTTCTTGTGGCTGAATCAGACATTTCAAGCTGGGTGATCATCTGAATCTTTCTGTTTCAGTTCTACCGGGATGCCAAGGACTGGTGGCTGTTTGGCTTCTACTTCTGCGTCCCTCTGGCCTGCTCAGCTGTTTTCTACGGCCTCATGACCTGTGAGATGCTGAGGCATCAGAAGGGACACCTGAGGATCTCGCTGAGTGAACACCTTAAACAGGTTTGCAAATAAAATATCCTTAAACCAAAAGGGAAGACAACATTTTAACAGATTTATTTAAAATGCATCCCAAAACCCTTGATCTAAACCATTATTTAATTTTTAATTCGTAACACAAATCAAATTCTAAAATTTGGAATTTGGTTCAATATTTTATGGAGCAGTATTACAGAATCAGAAATACTTTAATAATCCCAGAGGGAAATTACTTTTGTTACACGCTCCAATTAAAGTTTTTTATATGTATATATTTATATATATATATATATATATATATATATATATATATATATATATATATATATAGACATCCAACTACACGAGATAATAAAGATAAAAGTAAAACAGATAAAATATATACACATATAGCTCTTCTGTATATATATATATGTATGTATATATATGCATATGTAAAACTAAATCCAAGTAATGGTCAATTACGGGGAGGGGGGGGGGGGGTCTGAATCATTTGAGGGAGGCATTATAGAGATTGATGACCACAGGTAGGAATGATTTCCTGTGGCGCTCTGTGGTGCATCTGGGTAGGAGGAGTCTGCTGGACCAGTGTGTCATGGAGAGGATGTGAGTCATTGTCTAAGATGGACTGAAACCTGGACAGCGTCCTCCTCTCTGACACGCTCGTCAGAGTGTCTAGCTCCTCCCCCACAACATCACTGGCCCTCTTGATCAGTTTGTTCAGTCTGCTGTTTTCAGCAACCCTCAGCCCACTGCCCCAGCATGTGACAGCAAAGAAGAGCGTGCTAGCAACAACAGACTTATAAAACATTCTCAGCATCGTCCCAGATGTTAAAGGACTTCAGCCTCCTCAGGAAGAATAGTCGGCTTTGGCCTTTTTTGTAGACCGCCTCGGTGTTTCTAGTCTAGTCAAACTTATTGCTAAAGTACACTTTATATACCGGGGTCCCCTACAATTCCTTTTTAAACATCAATCTTTGAACTAAAATATTCTTTCTGTCATGATTTATGGACATTAAGATCTAAAGAAAAGCATCATCTTCTGGTCAGACCATGTAATTCAGTGAAAGGGTTGACTCACTGGAAAAAAATATGCACGCCCACACTGCAAAAACGATCTAGAAATAAGTAAAAATGTATTTAATTAGGTGTATTTACCCTTAATTTGAGTAAGTAAATAAGATAGTTTGCCAATGGAATAAATATTTTTACTCTTAAAATAAGATAATTAGATAATATGCACTTGAAATAAGACAAAGCAATTGTGTTTTCTTATTTTAAATGTAAATTGTCTTGTTCCATTGACAAAATGTCTCTTTTATCTCCTCAATCCAAGAACAAATGGACTTATTTTAACAAAAAATTACTTATCTAGGTTTGGATTTTTTCCAGTGCAGGAGAACGCCAGCGGCTGGAATTTTGCTGGGAACTGCAGGGAAGTGGGCTGCCATTCAGCTGGCGTTTGACTGGGAAGGGCCGGTTTGAGTGGCTGCTGCTGTAAATGCACAATTCATAGCAACAGAAACAAGAAGGAACTCAGACTAATTAACTGCAGCACTGAATTCAGGTTTTCACAAACAAACTTCATAAATTTGGGAGTTTTTATAGGATACATCTAATCTAACAAAATGATGTACTTTTTTAATCAGTTTGTAAAAATAGTGGATTTAGTCACAAAAAAACAAACAATAGAAAATAGCTGCCATAGACTGTAATTGGTTTAACTTTTCTATTTTTGGCAAACAAACTGGTGAAGAATATATAAAACTAATGGTCGATGGTTAGAATGGTTGTCAATATCTACTTTTTTCCCCCATGTAAGAGTCTCATTGAAGTTAAAAGGTCTCATGCCTGTGTAAAAGTTTCTTTTCCAAAACTTTCCACAAGTTTGACCTTTCAACTTTCAAAATGCCATCCCTGACTCTATGTACAAGATCATCATAATAATTGAACTTAACCCATCCCCTTGGGGAGCAGTGGGCTGCTATTGTGTGGCGCCCCGGGGAGCAGTGTGGGGTTAAGGGTCTTGCTCAGGGTACCAGAACTAGTAGGACTTGTAGGGGATAGAACTGGGTACTTGAAACATCCTCAAAGCACAAGCGCCCTGCTCTAACCCACTACTCCAAAAACCTTAATCGTTTATTATATATTTTCCAACACAGAGGGACAAACTGATCATAAAGCCAAAATAGCATCTATTTTATCCTCTAATAGAATCTAATAGCAGAATTAATCCTAAAACTAGATCCTTTAAATTTGATCTAAAGGAAGTAATAAAAATACACCTAGAGTCAAATGTCTTTATGCTTAGATACTGCATGATTGCATTAGATTTGAATCGCACATAACATCCGATTCTTAAAGACGAGTGATTTTTGCAACACATAGTTTTATGGGGAAAAAATACCACCTGGTGAAAGCTGGCTGTGATTTTATGGCCTCGTGAGACCATCCTGATCTCGCAAGCTTTCAAGGTTTCACTCCCAGATCAGTCTGGAGACTCTCCGTTAAAGAAAATTTGGAGCCGTTCACCAAACGAACGTCCAATAAGCGTTGGCTTTGAGGCGGGTTGAGGTGTGACGCAACGAGAAGCGCGACAGTTCAGTCTAAAGAACATGGCAGCTTCAGCCGATGAAACTAGCGTTAGCGTGGCTATCAAGCAAGTTTTATCGGAATTACAGAGTATTTCTTCACTGAAAGAAGAGCAAAACACTGCTCTGGAGGCTTTTCTCAGAGGAAAAGATGTTTTTGCTCTTCTCCCGACTGGTTTCGGCAAGAGTAGCCTGGCTTGTGGTTGTGTTTTCGTCGTCGCTCTGTTAGTTTCATATGCTTCGTTGATCTGATTGGTTTATTTGGCCCGTCTATCACCAACATAGGCCAATCAGCTAACCAGTATTTTCGCCCCTTCCCAAATTACTTCAACGGAAGGTTTCCAGATGGATATGCGGAGCAAATCCATCTTACGGAGTCAGGTTAATTATTTTAAGGCAGCAATGGAAAAAGCTGCTTTCATTACGATTCTCATTTACTCTCTGCAGCGCCGTGAAGTGGCTAAAGCCGTATTCTGTCTGGTGGTGATCTTCGCACTCTGCTGGTTTCCGCTTCACCTGAGTCGACTTCTAAAGAAGACGGTCTACAAACCGCATGATGTTCACCGCTGCGAACTCTTGAAGTCGGTGCAAAGCTTAAAGCAAATATTGAGCCATTTCTCCTTCTCTGGTTCTATTTTCAAATCCTCTCTTATGTTGGTTGCAGCCTGCTGCTGGTGCTCGACTACTTCAGCATCAACATGGCGACCATAAACTCCTGTATCAATCCCATCATCCTCTTCTTTGTCTCTAAGAAGTTCAAGAACTGCTTTAAGGTAAGACATCTCGGTGCTTTGTGTGTGACCACAGTGGTCATCGGGTCCTGAGAGACAGATTTCAGACTGTGGGTTTTTACGATGTTTTGAGATAGCAGCTATCAGCGGGACAGTAGGGAGTCGATTGACACAGATGGGTCGCGACCCGTGATAAACAGTTTGTGGGAAGAATGCTTGTTTAGAGGGACACTCCTCTCAGTTGTGACATGTTTACTATCTTGTTCTTTTTATATTTTCTGAGAATATTTGGAGAACTATTTCTCTCTCTTAGCCCCATACTGTTTTTTTAAATAAAAACAACAATTACGCAATTAATTTAGCAGTTAACGTTAACAGGATTGTTGTTTCTGACAAATAAGGAACCAGATTAAACTAAAGTGATCTGACACATTATTTAGATATGTAGACAAATGCAAAGATTGAAAAAAAAAGAGTAAATTTGATGTAAATAAATGCAGTCCAGTGCCCACAGCATAATACTGCCACCATCATGTTTCACCTAGGGATGAAGTGCAATATTAGTTTTCCACCATGCACGATGTTATTCAAGTAAGTCAAACTGTTTTAATTTGTGCTGAACTGAGAGCACAGCTGGCTAGATCGACAGGTAAGTCAGTCACCCTGCAAACGGGAAGCCTGGGTTTGGATCCCAGCTGGGAGGAATGAGCTGCCTGCTTTCTGGTTCTGATTTTAAGCCCTACTCCCATAGCCTGACACTCTGGCTCTCTGAGCAAGACCCTTAACTGCTCCCTGGGCGCCGCACAGAGAGTTGATTTTGTTACTTGGTGCTTGTGACAGTGTAATGACAATAAAAATGTTGGGGGAAAAAAAAAAACAACTTCTCCCACATGTTAGAATAGACATAATGTCAGCGAAATGTTCCACCTGAGCTGCAGATCTCTACAGCTCCTCCAGAGTTATAGTGAGGGTCTTGGCTGTTCTGATTAAAGCCCACCTCATCCATCAAGTCAGCGTTCATTGAAAATTTAAACAATAATAGGAAATAGAACAATGTTTTAAATGGGTTTCATTATATGCTTGATCATTTCAATCTGAAGCTGGTTAAATTTTCCTAAAGAATGACATTCCTAAACAGGTTCATTTTTTTTGATTAATGGATATTTTCCTTAGAACAAATTTAAAATGTTAGTGCCTTGTATTCCTGAATTATTGTTCCATATTGTAAAAAAAAAGTGCTTTTAAAAGGGAGAGATGGGGACTACAGACTTATTTCCAGTTTGGTTGCTGAAAAACACAGAATATAATATCACCTTAAATGAAAAAGATATTAGAATAACTTCCTCGTTTTCAACAAATGATGAATAATATTTGAATTAGTCAGATTTTCCACCCTTTCATCATAAATGACAATCTCCAACTCTTTAGGGTTTTATTCCATTAAAATTACATCACAATTTTAACATATTCTTTAAAAATAACAAGAGAAAGGTTTATTGGAATGCCTTTTAATGAGGGTCCTATTTATTATTTAGGCTGTTAACAGGGTAAAATAAGTGATAAATCATTTCTTTATATGTAAAATCCTGTTGGTTCCAGTCGACGGGATGCTATAGTTTTTTTCTGGCAACAGGAATGGATTAAATAAATGCATTTTTTGGTGTCAGCCTGACCCCCTGCAGCAGCTTCTCCATCAGGGTTTATCTTCATTCTGATGGTAATTATTTCCAGCTCTGGACGTGGCGTGGCCTGTCTGTCTGTGGAAGCAGCCGTATCGGCTGATTTTGCCTTATGTGGCTCTCGAAGAGCATCCAGAACTTTGTTAAAAATTTCAGGCATGTCATCCAGGTTATCTTGCCTCGGCCTTGGAGATTAGAAATTCATTAGGTCAAAAGAGGTGAAGTCTTGTTTCCTGGAAATGAAGCTGTCATATAAAAAAGCTGACATCACAAATATGGGAATGAAAATGGGATTCTGTCAAGATACGATCTGCTTTAAAAGGAAATGTCTACAGTGAATTCAGACATATTTTGGAAATGAATTTAACTGAAAACCAAAAGCTGGTTGTAAATTGTCTTATCTCTGCGAGCCTCTCTCCTTAACTCCCACTATAAACTCCAGCGTTGGTAAAAATGCTTCAGCCGGTTATTATTCTGCACCTAGACTGCTATGGGAACAGATTATTGGTACAAGACATAAATTCTCATAATTTGGATTTAAAAATCACTGAGAGAGACATGGACATTAAACTATAATACATTTATCAGTCTTGGTTACATAAAGGAGATCGTTTAATGTTGTCTCTTTCTGTTTGTATCTAATTATCTGAATTTCTTCTTAACTGTCTAAAAAGAAAAATTATAATTATCTGAAAGGGGACTAAAGATGATGCGTTTAATCAAAGGGTAGCGGATCAATATACTGTTACTGATACATCCGTTATTGAATTAATGGTCCTATTGGTTTAATATGTTCAGAAAGTTACAGAAGAGGCAAAATCTAATTTCCTATAGAAACCAAAACTCTTTTTTTTTAACCTTTTCTGAATAAATAGATCAGTACGGAAGAGAATTAGGGCCACTGGAAAAAAAAAATGTTTTTTTACATTTAATTTCTTTGAATTTTATTTCAGTTTAATATGAGAAAAAAAGTCTGACTTTTTTTCTCATATTAAACTGAAATAAAATGTAAAAATGAGTTAACTTTTTTTTTTTCAGTGGCCCAAATCCTCTTCCATAGATCAGTCAAACCTATCTCAAACTAATTCATTTCTGCAGTTACTTTAGTTAAGTTATATGCTGATGATATTGACAATTTCAACAAAAGGTTTAATTTACAAATATTCTTTCATATTTTTAAAAGGAAAAACATAATTTCGATTTATTCAACACTTTAATCAGAATTAACTCACCCCTTTTTTTCCTATTATTTCATTCATTTCATTGTAAAATCTTAATTCTTCTTCAAGTTTGTACAAGAGTTTAAAGTAGTTGGACTTTTTCCAGAGCCTTTTTTAAACTGAATCGTTTTATTGTTATTAAGCCTCTTGATGAGAAGTTTTCTGAATGCAAAAGATGAACTGGGTTTAGTTACAGTGTAATATCCAAATGAGCAAAGAAGTAGCCTCCAAATATAGATGTCCATATCATTTTGGACATTTTTTAGGGTCAGTTTTGTCTTTTTTGTAGAAATAATTTAGCAACTGGACCTTTTTCAGTCTGTCTAGCCTAAACTTAAATGTTGAGCAGCATTTTTAACCCATTTGATCAATCCCAACCCACTCTCGGCCACATTCGCACATCAATAGATTGCTTTAAAGAGATATCTGTTCATCTCTCTTTTTCCAAGATATTTTACTCAGGTGTAGCTCTAAATTTTTACTTTTGCAATGTGCTGCCTGTATCCTCTTATAACTAATTTGTTTTAAAATACTTCACTTCTGTCTAAGATCAAGACAATTTTTTAACAATTATAAGAAAATATAGCAACCTTCAGGTGAAATGTCCAAGTAAAAAAATCAGAATTTTGCCCATAAAGTCTTTGCTTTAATTCTAAAAGTGCTTTTCTGTCTCTCTATATTTTCCCACAGTCCTGCCTGTGTTGCTGGTGTTACCATGGCTCCCTCTCCAACAGCATGCAGCCCCTCCATCACGGCACCAGCCAGCAGTACAAACACACCGACCACTGAACCACTCCCCTCCACCGGAAGGACGTTCAGCAGCCTGTCCAGCAGAAATGTGTTCACTTCTAATATGTGCACATAACCTGTACAGCTCTGACAGCTCTCTTTTGAGGTTGGGAGACCTCTAAATATCACAGGATATGAGATTTAAAACAGAATTTAAGCTTTCAGTTTGTAAAGAGTTGGTGGTTTAAGCCCTGGTTCTGGCTTTCAATGTCATTATCAAACATTCTGTTGGTCAAAGTGACCAATTTGTATTTTTTTTTTTTTTTTTTGCCCTTTTACCAGTATAGATTGGTTATAATTACTACCAAATTAAATTGGTTATTTTAACCAAAGGATTGGTTGGACACATGACTACCTACCAAATTTTTATTCGATTAGACTGTTTTTAGGGTGTTATTTTGTTAAAACATAATTTCTTAACTCTTGCTTCTCAGTGTTAAAGGTTATATTTCACTCATATCTTTAGTGAGAGGTTAGCCACTGTAAAATGCTGAATTTATTTCACAGCCTTGTTATCATGCTTCTCTAAAGATTCCTTTGACACCATAGAGATCAGAAGAACTGTAAAGCCAGATAAGGTTCTTTATTTATTATTTTGTCTATTTTTAAGTGGCTCGTTTGTTTCTTTTCATCAGTCACCAGTCGGCTTCTCTCTGTTCTTAACCAGTAATTATGATGTAGTTCCTGATGGAGGAAGGGAGAACTAAGAGCTGCAGAATGACAGCGTTAACAAGGACATGATGGATTTTCGGATTTTTTACATCAACTAGAAGTGACTATGGTTGAATTGAATGGAAAAGGAGAGATTAAATATGTTTTTGTGTGATTATGCCTTAATAACAACAATTTCTCCCCATACAGATATGTTGGACCTCTTGTGGCTCTGTAGAAACCTTAAAACAAAACTATCAACATAACTCTGCTCTTTCGTTGTATCCTATTTTCTGCTGTGTTTTATTTAATATATCTAACTGCAATAAGTCTGTTTAGATCCGAGGAAAAGCAGCAATTATCTGTGTTACAGTGGCCTCTGGAGGCCAAAGCTAGTATTACACTTATTTTATTCTGACAATCCGTGTTTACTTCAGAGGGAAATCCTCTGTTTCATTATAGACACACTTATGTATAAAGGGAAACTTATTGTGGTGCTTTGAGGGCTACCAAAACAACTAAAATGTCACCAAAGTAATTTCATCTACATTTTATTTGTTGTGTTGTTTTTTTTAGATGTTGTATTTATCAATAAAGCTATACCAGCAACTACAAACACCATGATTATTTGTTTTCTTAAGGATTGATCCATTATCAGTTCATAAATGCTAATTTGCATTATGATTTTTATTATCTGTTATTTCCAGAGGTGGGTAGAGTATTCATAAAATTGTACTTAAGTAAAAGTAGAACTACTTCATCATATTTTTACTTAAGTAAAAGTAAAAAATATCCTGCTATCCTACTACTTAATTAAGAGTAAAAAGAGTTGGTAAAAAGGCTTCTTAAGTACTGATCTACTGACTAACCATGGTCATAACAACTAATTTGATATTTTCTGAATTATGAAACTTACAAAATCAATAGTTACAGTTTGCAGAATCGGTAAAATTACAGCACACTGTTTACTGTATTTTCACTCAATCTCCAAATGACACAGCAGACTCAGTAAATGGAAAATAACATTAAACTAATTAGCCTTGAGTTTAAAAAAAGAACAAATTTTTAAAGTAGTTTTTCACTAAGTGAAGTTACTCACAATGCATGAAGGAGCCAGACATTTTACTCAAGTAAAAGTAGCGATCCCTTGAACCCCAGTCGGCCTCTGAGCCTGGTTCTGCTGGAGGTTTCTTCCTGTTAAAAGGGAGTTTTTTCTCTCCACTGTTGCTACAAATATGCTTAGTGAGAGGGATTGCCTTCGAGTCAATGAGTTGATGCAATCAACTATTTTTCCTTAGAAAACTTTGAATAAATTTGACTGTATGATCTGGTGAACTTTAAAGTGCTTTGAGATGACGTGTTGTGAATTGGCGCTATATAAATAAACTGAATTACATTGAAGTGATTTTTAATAATCAGGGAAGAAATGTAAGTTGCATTTACTAATATATTATGGCATTTATTAATAAATTAGATGCATTTATTAATCTAATTTGTTTTCAAATCCTGTTTCTTAACAGAGATTTACACAATCACAATTTATAAATCTGATTTTAAATACCTTTCCAATTGGAAATTCAAAATAATTAGTTTCCTTTTTCCACATCCATTTTCTTTTCACCTTGCATCTTTAGTCCTTTTTGCAATTACTTTTTTTTGTGTAAAGTTTCTCTTTCTATTTGGCTTCTGCATGACCCTTTTGGTCCCTGAGTAATCAAAAAACTAATCACAGTTGATTTTTGGATGTAATCAGCTCTCTCATAATAATGCCACACTGTGGCATCTGTGTTTGGTTCAACTTGGTTACAGTAGGTCTGACATTCCCAAAATGTTATGCCATTATTGGAGAAAATTTCTCTTTTAGGTTAGGTTATACAATTTTTGTCTTTTTTGAAGAAAAAAATCTAAATAATAAATAATAATTTCTTATAATTTATTCAAATTCAGCTCCATGTTTATTTATATTTTCTCCCTGCTATTATAACCTACTTAGAGAGTAAACATCCCAGCCTATGTCTGGGCCCCGCCCACCATGAGGCTGATGGGAGCTGCCTCCGCTTCCTCCCGGTGACGTCTGGCCGTAAAGGCGGCGGATCAGCTGCTGAGCGGAGCCCTCGGACCTGACGGTCGGTGTGCGGATTTATCGACCGCTGATCAAAGAGGACTTCATTAAAAAGACCCGAACCGGACCGCTGAGCGTCAGTTTGGCCGTTCACGGTGACGGATGGAGGAGGGATGCGTTGCCTAGAAACAGAGAGCGGAGGAGGGCGGAAACAGGCCGAGCATCACTGCAAGTAAACAACCCTCTGACGCAACAGCTTTAACATGTTTACACTACAATCCTGACTGCTTTTATTAAAACAATAAAAAGATAAATGCTTTCATTTTAGCTTGTTTTTAAAGCACGACTTAAACACAGTGTTGGTCCAGAGAGAAATAGCCTACATGGTGCTGTAGTCCTACTGCTCTATTTTCTACGGAAGTGGATTAGGGCCACTGAAAAAACGAAAAAAAGTTAACGGATTTTTTAATTTTATTTCAGTATAATAGAAGAAAAAACTGACTTTTTTGTCTGAATCCTGACTAATCTCAGAATTCTGATTTTTTTCTCAGAATTCTTACTTTAATCTCAGAATTCTGACTTTTTTCCTAAGAATTCTAACTTTAATCTCAGAATTCTGCCTTTTTTTTCTCATAATTCTGACTTTATTCTCAGAATTCTGACTTTTTTCCTAAGAATTCTAACTTTAATCTCAGAATTTTGGATCTAAATGTAGATGGACACCATGAAGGAAGAGATGTGGGAGCACTCAGCTTCACTGACAAAGATGTGAGTTGTTTGGGAGGGCCAGTGACACATTGGTGGAAAATGACGGAATTAGGCAACTTTTTACGTGCCTGAGGGGTCCCTGTGATGCTACTTCATTGAGGGGCAGAAGATCATTAAATCAAGGGAGCTAGCCTCTAAAACAGACATGGCTACAGCTTGATGCTAACATGTTTGTTAGCTGTCAGTATTCAGTCAGAATTCTGAGATGAAAGTCAGAATTCTGAGAAAAAAAGACATAATTCTTACAAAAAGTCAGAATTCTGACTTTTTCCCTTATTAAACTGAAATAATATTTAAAAATCGGGTAACGTTTTTTATTGTTTCAGTGGCCCTAATCCTCTTCCATAATTGTCTAATATTTTCAAGCTTCCATTTTTCCATTTGCAATGGACTTAAATTGTTAGATTTAAAAAGCGGCAAAACTCACCAACCGTTCTGTAAGGACTGTAGACATAATATATGCTAAATAAAATACATTTTTTGGTTAAATAATCAGAAGAAAAAATACACTTTTGCCAATTTATTAAATCCTGAAGTTCACAAACTTACTTCTTACTCATTCACGCTGTAAATGTTGCAGTGTTAAAGTGACACTTTAAGAGGTAGATTTAACACCAAGCTGAGTGCATTTGGTCCCACTTTCTACGTAGTGTATATTAATGCCAGATGTTTTTGTCGTTATAACTGTAAAAGAGTCAATGTACTTTGACACTACAGATTTAACACTGTGCGTCAGTTCTGTGGTGGTTTAATCTAAAGCAAAAAAGTTGACCTGAACAGCTTTACAACTCATTTTCATTTCACAGTAATGTTGATCTTTCTTCTATTTTTCTGTTATTGCCTTTCCAATTAGATAGACTTACAGGCTTTATAAAGATATGCCATATAGATATCAACTCCTTGTTTACCATATTGAAGTTACAGTTTTTTTTATTGTAAACAGGTGCAAGTGAGTAAAGGTGAAGGAATATAATATATATATAACTATGTTTTGTAGTTGTTTGGACATTTAAGCTTTTGATTTTTTCAAATGATTTTGTTCAGTAATATTCATGTCAATTATTACCACAAAAAATTGAATTAATGATAGTATTAATGACTGAAAACAATAATAATCATATCTTAGGGAACTGAATTGCACAGTCAAAGCAGTGTTATATGCTTGTTGTCCCGTCTGTCTCTAAGATGTTGGATGAGCCTGTAAGTCTGCACTCAGGGTGAAGCAGCCACCATGCCATGTACCTGTGCAGAGTGGAGGAGATGGATCCGTCCCCTGGTTCTGGTTCTGTATGCCCTTCTGCTGGTGGCTGTAGTGCCGCTGTGCATCTGGGAGCTCCAGAAGGACAAGGTACTCATATCCCCCCCCCATTACCTCCTGATCTGCTTGTATCTGATCTATACTGAATGATTCATAGAGGTTCTGCTTTTCTGTCTGTGCAGGTCGGGACTCACAGTAAAGCCTGGTTCATTGCCGGTGTGTTTGTGTTCCTCACAATCCCCATTTCACTGTGGGGGATCCTGCAGCATATGGTGCACTACACCCAGCCTGAGCTGCAGAAACCCATCATCAGGTAAACAAATATTTCCCTGAATGAATCATAAGAATAGATCCAGCTCATTTAAGCCCTCAAGCCTGTCTCTGGGCCGAATATTACTTTTAGGGTAAATCGTTAATAGCATCATGGGTTGAATAACTGCACTGAATTAGAAAGGCTTCAGAAACTTTCAACGTTTCACCATTTTCGTTTCCTTAAGGCAAGGCAAGGAAAGTTTATCTGTGTAGCACAATTCAGTACAAAGACAATTCTAAACGGTAAAATAGAAGAATAAAAACAGAATAAATGCAAGTAACAATAAAAACATGATACAAGCAAGTATTAAAGCAAATAAAACAGTTTCACCATAAACTTAAACTTAGAAATCAGCTTGTAGATCTGATAAACATTCCTGGCTCCAGATGGTGATCTGGATCATCACTAAAATTAAATCATTCGCTGCCAGTCACAATAGGCACCTTCTCTGAAAATTTCAGCAAAATCTGTCAATAAGTTTTTTAGTTATTTTGAAAACAGAAAAGCCAACACTGATGAATATATAACCACCTCGGCGGACGTAACTAATGATACCTTAGTTAACAGTTTAACTTTAACAGTCAAAGGCAGCTCTGCAGTGGGGGGATAATAACTCAATCTTCTAGAATAGGGGTGTCAAACTGGTTCCAGAAAGGTTCCAGGTTTTCTTTCCAACCAAACAATAGCACACCTGACTCCATTCATATCATCAAGTCATCATGTCAAGATTGGACTCAGTTGATTAGATGCAGGAAGAGACAGCAGGTTAGTGACCACGTCTATGTGGAGATGGATGATATATATATTTTTTATTTATTCCTTTATTTAACCAGGAAAAGTCCCATTGAGATTAACAATCTCTTTTTCAAGGAAGTCCTGGCCAAGACAGCGGCAAAAGATTACATTACAAATTACATTACAGTTTACAATTACATCTATCTATAATTAGAAATTCATAAAACAGTTACAAACCATAGATCTCATTTCCAAACCTTTGAGCAAATATCTGAAAATATCCCAGTCGAATTTAAGATGGGTTTTCCTTGCCTTTGTCCATGCTAAGTTTCTCTCATGTAAAGCATTAGCCAGTTCTGGTGTGAACCATGCATTATCTCTTCCTTTAATTCTGATTTTTTTAAAGGGGGCATGCTTATTAACAACAGCCATAAAACACTCATAGAAAAATGACCAAGCTGTTTCAACATCAGGAATTAGGTCAATTCTCTCCCATTGGCACTTACAAAGGTCATGGTAGAAGGCTTGTTCATTCAGATGTTTTAAATCTCTTTTTATCATAATACGTGGTTTCTTCTTGTCCATTTTGGTGTTTCTAACAGTGGCTACAAGACAGTGGTCACTGAGATCATTGCAAAAAACCCCAGTGGATAAGCATGTGAGTCACTAACCTGGTCTTATAGAGGAGTCCGAGGTTGCTTCCAACTGATCAACTGCCAATGTGACACAGCTGGCGGCGCCCACAGTCCCAGACGCTGATGTATTAGTATTCGGAGAACAGGCAGGAGATCAGAACTGAGCAGACGATGGTAGGCAGGATAATCCAGAGGGCCAAGCCAAAGCCAGTAAGGTGCTCGGTAGTTAGAAAAAGGAGATCAGAGGGTCAAAGAGGTGCCGAGGGCAAATCCAATACAGAGTCGTGAAGCAGTCCCAATTTCGGTTGACAGACAGGCAGAGATCTGGCAGGAGTCCAAAGACAGATCAGGCAAACAGATCAGAAAGGGGACAGGCAGGCTCAGGGGTCCAGAGGCAGAATGGGTTTGGATCAGGCAATCAGAAATACAGAAATGCAAGAGAACTCTCACCAAAGGCTTGAATAATCTGGCACTGATGACTGATCTGAAGGCTGGTTAAATAGAGGCTGAAGCAGGTGGATCAGATGAACGGTAATGAGAACTTGGCAGAGATAAGCAGGTGAGTAAAATGAGTAATCAGACCAGACCTCAGCACCAAGATCATGACATTCAGTTTAACTGTGAAGTGTAGAAGTAGTAGCAGAGGTAAGAATAAAAGTGAAATAAAACCTGAAAACTGCTTTACATTCCTGATATATGATAAAAAATAATGATAAACATGCAGTATGAGATCAAAATTCTGAAGGCATCTAAAGTTTTTGCAGATGGTTGAATAAAGTGCATGAAACTTAAAACCCTGATGGTTTGTTTTTATCTTCCAGGATTCTGTGGATGGTTCCAATCTACAGTCTGGACAGTGTGAGTCATTAATGGGACACAAACACACAGATCAATGCTCAGCAGTCTGTCTTATCCTTTGTTGCATCCATTGCAAAACATTGCAGGGTCACCAGCCGTGATATGAAATTGGCTGAGACACTTTTTTTGTAACCACAGCTATTAAATCTTCTCCCATGTGAATCTGTTCACATGTGATTTTGAGCTTCAGTTTTCCTCCTCCCTTCATTCAGTGGCTGGCCCTGCGGTACCCCAGCCTCGCCATCTACGTGGACACGTGCAGGGAGTGCTATGAGGCCTACGTTATCTACAACTTCCTGGTTTTCCTGCTCAACTTCCTGAGCAACCAGTACCCGAGCCTGGTGCTCATGCTAGAGGTGCAGCAGCAGCAGCCACACCTGCCGCCGCTCTGCTGCTGCCCGCCATGGCCGATGGGAGAGTATGAGGAGGGAAGGAGCGGGCAAAAGTGTCTGATGAGATGATGGTGCCTGAAGTGTTCATGCTTTTCATTATTCCTCCGGCAGGGTGCTGCTGTTCAGATGCAAGCTGGGCGTCCTTCAGTACACGGTGGTCCGACCCGTCACCACGGTGATAGCACTGTAAGTTTAAGACATAAAGGCTCATCATTTCTAAGTGTTGTCCTTCTGGTCATTGTTAAACATATAAAATGTCATCTGTTAGTTATTCTCTGTCCTCTCTAAAGGTTCTCTAAAGCTATTTTTAGCTTTATTTGCATTATTTATTTATTATTTCTCAGCCTGTCAGAGTATTTTTAAAACTGGTTCCTCATGGCGATGACTGGAATATGCATCGTTGTTGTTTTGTCTATTTCTGCAGCATCTGTCAGCTCTTTGGAGTTTATGATGAGGCCAATTTCAGCTTCAGAAACGCTTGGTCCTACCTGGTTATTGTTAACAACATATCCCAGCTGGTAATCAACACCTCAGCGACCGGACATTACCGTAGGAACGACACATGAAAGAACTTTATAATCCAATCCAATCTTTATTTATGTAGAACTTTAAAAACCAACAGGACCAAAGTGCTGCACAAAAGCAGAAATACAAACACAATTTAATGCACTCAGATTCATGAAAAAAGAAGGAAAGTTACAAATGAAATAAACAAAAAAATAAATAGAAATAAGGCCACTGGTTGCTCAGGAACTTTGAAATATAGACTTAACTCTATTTATAAAAAAAAGAAAAAAGGTATTTTAAGTTGTAATAATCTGCACATATATTTATTAATTCAAAAGAGTGAAAACTGTTTAAAAAATAGTTGCTACCTATGGGTGTTTCTGCTTTTATAAGGTGTCTTGGTTCCACCATAAGGTGCCAAGCATCTCGAATAATAAAATGTAAACAAACCATGAAGCCTTTCAGGTTTTTTAGAGGGAGATACACTATATTACTAAAGTCGTAACACTTTAAAATTAAAAGGTAAATATTTAAAGCTAAATATATCTACTATAATTTGGTGGATTTCTATGAAACAGCAACAGAAAGTAGTAGGAGCATATGAGGAGGGAGGGAATATACAGACACCAATCCGTTTTTTTAAATTCAGTTTTTTTTATAGAGAATAACAACAAAAAAACTACATTAAGAACAACAAATAAACAGAAGCTAGATGGGCGATAAAGATGAGCAACTGAGAGGCTGTCATTATCACTGGATTAGCTGCAAAGATCCACAGCTAAGCTGGAAGCTTCTGTTCAGAGAAAAATTCTGATTCAAATATTCTACAATTATCCCATTTGCAGAACATTTGCAAAAAGAAAGTAGTTAAAAAAGAAAGAAACAAAAAACTGTAATTTTAGCCTTTAATTTGCAACAAACCATGCAGAAAGTTCTCTGGTCAGACTGAATAAAATGCCACTTTCTTTTACACAAAAATCACAGTTTTGTGAAATTTCTCTACACATGGACATGGATCATACTGTCCAAACAAATAAACATGGTAGTGGCAGTATTATGTTTGGAGACATTTCTCTTTAGAAGCAACAGACAGCTGGTCAGTGTTTGTGGGAGGAGAGGTGGAGCTAAATACCTGACAGTTCTACTTTCCAGCAGGACAATTCACCAAAATCATACTATCAGAATTATACAGGATATCAAAACATAATAATCTGTTAGAAAGACCTAATCAAAGTTCAGAAATACGTTTAATTAGAAATCTATAGTAATGCTTTAAATATACTGTTCACAGCTTTAGTTATTTTGCAGTCTCAGTCTTTAGAGGTGAATTGTTTGCTGGGACATAACCTTTAAGACCTGCAGCCAAAAATGGTTAACTGGGTGATTGTAAAAAATGGTTAACCAGAGGAAGGTTAAAAAAAAACAAAAACAAAAAAAAAACGCTCTTAAGTCCCACCTTTTAGATTAGGTCAGGAAAACTTTGGAAAAGTAGGTATCAGTTTGATTAAATGTTGCCGGGGAGTGGTGGCCTAGGGGTTTAGAACATTGATTGGAATCCAGAGGTTCTGAGTTCAAGCCCCACTCCCACGGACTGCCACTTTGGCCCCCTGAGCAAGACCCTTAACCCCACACTGCTCCCTGGGCGCTGCACAATGGCAGCCCCCTGCGCCCCAAGGGGACGGGTAAAATGAAGAGTTCATTGCGTTGCTCTGTATTTGTAACAGTGTAATTACAATAAAAAAACAAAAAATTAACAAATCTGCACTACTATGTATATCACACTTTAACACTTTTTTACAAAATACTCATATCAGTAAATCAGGTTTTTAATGCATTTTTTGTTTTTTTTCCCTACAGACATAGAGGTGACAGTTGTTCTTCTGATCTTTCTGATTAGAGTATGATTATAGACTGATGCCCTGAGAGATGAGCTGACTCCAATCAGGCCCGTTGGAAAGTTCCTCTGCGTAAAATTGGTGGTGTTTGTCTCCTTCTGGTAAGCAGGACCGTACTTGTATGGTACCTTATTCTTATTAAGGAAACGTTATAAGGTTTAATAAATGCTGGTGGTTTTTTCTGCAGGCAGGCCGTTTTCATAGCCTTCCTGGTGAAAGTAGGTGTGATCTCTGACAAACACACCTGGGACTGGGACAGCGTGGAGGCTGTAGCTACTGGACTGCAGGTCAAAAATCATTATTATAAAGAAATACACCTCTGGCATAATCAGTTACTTATTCATACCTACAGTATTTTTGTAAATATTTAATTCCCATGCTTATCAGGTTACATAAAATCTAAGCCAGCATTTTGCTTTTCCTTTCTTTCTATACCCCAGTACTGGTTCTTTAATTAAACAAGTAAAATTGGAGGTTATATTTCACTCATGTTTTAATTTTTGAAGATTTGTAACTGATTCTTCACTTTGTAAACTGCTTGACTGACCAAATGTATGATTGAATTTATAGGACTTCATCATCTGCATAGAGATGTTCCTGGCTGCTATCGCTCACCATTACACCTTTACCTACAAACCCTATGTCCAGGTAATCCATCCATCCATCCATCCATCCATCCATCCATCCATCCATTCATCCATCCATCCATCCATCCATCCATCCATCCATCCATCCATCCATCCATCCATCCATCCATCCATCCATCCATCCATCCATCCATCCATCCATCCATCCATCCATGTAACTTCCAACTTCCACTCTTTGCCTACTTTTCCCAGGAAGCAGAGGAGGGCTCCTGTTTTGACAGTTTTTTGGCCATGTGGGATTTCTCTGACATCCGAGCTGACGTCACTGAGCAAGTCCGCCATGTTGGTAAGTGTCATGGGCAGAGTTTGTTAGTCTTTAAGGTTTATTTAAATACATAATGTTTCAGGACTACATACTTGATAATTTCCCCACAATTTAAAATTATTTGATTAAAATGCCTGTTAACTTTTATAAAACTGCATTCAAGCTTCCTGCTGTTAACCTTCTTTCAATGTATAGTCTAGTCAGTGTACCAGTACTTAGTGTCTTTTACCTTCAATGGACATATTTTGGTTATTTCCTTAGTTGGTATTTGCAGAAAGCTACGGAGCCCCTGAAGGGACACTGAAGAGAAATAAAAAAATAATTATTGCGGCATGTTGATTGCCAAAAGGCCGCGGTCTACTGCTTCCAGCAGGTCTCTGTTCGGTCAGTTTTTGACGTACTCGCTGCATGATAGCAGACTTCACTCCTGGAGTTTGGAAAGTCTCAATTCTTTGCTGACAAGATGCTTTTACTGCAAGTCGGTCTCCATATTTCACAATATATTGTCCCAGCTCCTCGTCGGTCATCACATTTATGTGTCATCACATTTAGATCACACAGACAAACTATTCTTTTTTTTTTAAAGCTCTAAAATAGTATTTAAATAGTGTCTGATTGAAGAGGAAGGTTGTAATGGCACGTGCTGTGCTATTGCTAATCTGCATATTAAAAGGATATTACAACACTGTAATTAAATATTATGCTAATGTCTTACAAACCTAGTATATTGATTAAGAAACCTTATCTTTCCTCAGCTTTTTGACGACATTGTCGGGAATATTTGGGGTTTTCAAAAGTTTATTAAATCTTTGCCAGCCATCTCTTTAACATCAGCAAAAAATAGAGGCAATATCAGGTGCGCACGAGAAGCTAAAACTGGTGCGCATGAAAAACTAAGTGGAGCGCACGAGAAAGTATCTGGTGCGCACAAGAAAATAAGTGGTGCGCACGAGAAAGTATCTGGTGCGCACGAGAAAGTATCTGGTGCGCACGAAAAACTAAGTGCTGCGCACGAGAAAGTATCTGGTGCGCACGAAAAACTAAGTGAAGCGCACGAGGAAGTATCTGGTGCGCACGAGAAAGTATCTGGTGCGCACGAGAAACTAAGTGAAGCGCACGAGAAAGTATCTGGTGCGCACAAGAAAATAAGTGGTGCGCACGAGAAATAATTTTTTTTTATTTCTCTTCATTGTCCCTTTAGGGGCTCCGTAGAAAGCTGGACTCATAATGAAATAATCTCCAGAAGCATACTTACTGAATTTATCAAGCACCTTTATGACGAATGAGAAGTTTCTATCTTCCACTTATCTATCAGGGTGATGGTGGGTCTGATGCCTATCTCCAGTAGTCTATAGATGAAAGGCTGGTACACCCTAGACAGTTCACCAGTCAGTCACAGGCAAAAGGGTGAATTATTAGCATGGGCGTAGGTTTGCATAGGGACCATAGGGACATGTCCCTACCAACATTTTGAACCGACCTAATTGTCCCTACCAATAATTGGATGTGAGCAACATGTTTATAATTTACAGCAGTAGTTGTTGCAGCAGTGGCTTCTTTTCCTCTCGCAGCTCCTCTGCCTGGTCTCTCCTGTCCCTTTCATGTATCAGCGCATGGAACTTTGCTGCGCTATTTAACTAAACTCTCATTGGTTGTTTTGCCTTAAGTTCCGCCTTCTCTCTCTCTGATTGGCTGTTTTCTAGTCCGCGTGTGCTTGGAGCACAACATTGAAAATTTATTCACACTAGAATGCAGCGGTTACTACAATTAATAGTAGGCTACAAAACTAGTCCCAATAAAAAAAATGAATATCATGTACACTAGAAAACAAAAACCTTTTTTTTTCTTTTATAAAACAAAATATTCTGAGTCAGCCAGGAGTTCTGAAGACTGTTGGAAAAATGGGCAAATAAAGGCTGTAAGCCATCAACATTTCTGATTCTTAGCCACAGCCAGCTAAAAAAGAAAATGTGAGGGTTTCCTTTTTATCGATATTTAGTTGATATTACTGTTTTCATTTTTTTTGTTTTAATTTTTTCCAATTTTGATATAATAACTGATCTAAGTGGGTTGCTCTGTGGGGAAAGGCACATTTTACATTTATATTAATGTATGTTTTAAAGTCTCTATACTCCAGTTAATGATGAATCACTCACTAAATTAGTTGACAATTATTGAAATAATCAATTAATATGATTCATTTTTTCAGCCCCAGATGAAATACATGAAATTGGCTTCACAGAGTAACTACAGCCCAGATGTTCAACTTTTATAGTGAAGTTAATATTTTAATGAATGTATTATTTTGCTTGATACAGAGAGAGTATAGCAGGTAAAAAGAGTGGGGTTTAACTCTGCACAATTCTATATCTTCAAAAGAAAATACTGTATTCACCTTCTCTCTTAGTCGTTCAAATGAAACCGTTTTCAAAGTGGAAAACAGTCCTAATTCCACATTCATCAGAGCCGGTGATGCTTCAAACATTGATAAACAGCATCTAATGAGTGTAGTGCTTATACAATTTTTATTAATGTAGCAAAATGATGCTTTTCTCTTTTAACAATGAATTCCTCTTATCAGTACGGATGCTCACATCGAGCATAAAAAAGGGCATGCATATTGCATAGCACCAATGACACCCGACCAATAGTGTCCCCACCAAAGTTCAAATCAAACCTACGCCCTTGATTATTAGTAATAAATCACATAATTCACCATATTTTCCCAAAACTAAAATAAACTCAGAGTTTACTTTCTCAAAACACTTAATACATGTGGTACTCTCCCTGACCTTACTTTCCAGACATTAGCTAGTTCTTTGAGCCCAGCAGGTGTTTTTTTTATTTTTTATTCCTGCCATAACCCTTGAAGTTTCCTAGAGAAGGAGATCCTCAATAATAAAACATAAACATTAAATGTTGGATAACATTTGTTGTGCAATTTTATCAGCAGATTATGAATATATTATTAATTAGAACTTGAAGGTATAATGAATAAATATGTCATTGAAATCAATGATCTTTAGTTAAATGATTATAACTGACAATGTGCACAATTACCAGGTGTTATTAATTGCTTACATTAATGGCTGAGCGTTTTCGACCAGCTGTTAAAAATCTAAAATGTCATTAAAATCAGTAAATGTCAATGACTTGGTTTATAATTCAAGCAGATTTATAAATCATTAACCATATGGAAAATATTTCTCAGAAAATGTTTATGGTAAATCAAACACTGGCAAACCAGGTGTTCTGGGGTTTTAGGGTATTTTCACACATCTAGTGGAGTAGTGTGACAACTCTTCTGGCTATACAGGGCTCGATGTTAACCATCGCCCCATCTCCCGGGGCAGGTAGTTTTTATTGTTGGGATAGTACAAATTATGCAAAAAAAATTTATTCATCACTCAAAATTACTTTAAAATCACAGACATTCGATGAAAACAACCCAGAAGCGTTGCCGGTGCCATTTTTGTTGTTTTGAACACATTCTCGCGTGATTTGAAAAAGGCGCGTGTTTTGAAAAAGCCGGGTGAGTTTCCACCAGATGACGGAATTTTGTCCACCTAGCTGTAATTGTGATATAGTTACCAAAACGACAAACGGCTGCATTTATTTTGTCAGGGCAAACTAATCCTGAGTCAGTTAAAAGTCAGGGAATTCTGAAATTATGTAAGACTGTGGAAACCCTGTATAAAATAACTATGTATAATGATTCTCTAGAAAAGTCAAATTATATTAATAGTATTATCTTCTATAAACATAGAAGATGTTAATAAATAAAAGTTATTCATTTGTGACATTGACTTCTGTCTTGTGATTTATCTTAAGTTTTTAACCTGTCAAGTTATTTTTTAGATTTTTAACATTACAATTTTTATTTTTCCAAGCACACAACAGTTTAAAGCAAAGTTCAGTTTGAAAAGAATGTGCAGGAAGGTTTGAAAAGCATGTTAACACGGTAATGTAGGCTTGAGTTCATTATCTGACGCATGCATATACACACCTGGAACCTGAAAACTTAAAAAATACTGAATTACAAAAAACATTTAAAAAACAAACATGTTTCAGTGATATATATACAAAAATGAATGTTAGGAACTATATTTATCAAATATTATACTGGGCAAGTAAAAATTGTTTCTGGGCAAATGAAATGTGAGAGTCACTTGCCCAAAGGGCAAGTGGTAAAAATCCTTAATGTCAACCCCTGCTATATCTCTTCAGGTCGTACTTTCCTGGGACGCCCCAACAAGATGTACTTTGGAGCAGCTGCACGACCTGAGCATACTGAGCACACTGGGTTGCTGAACTCCACCTCCCAAGATCCCATCGTCACAGCAGCAACATCTATGCCCGCCTCACCGTCTTCTATCGGCCGGTACCAAGGCCTCGGCCACACGCCTGCCACTCACTCTATATCTGCACCTGCAGGTTTCAGGTCTTCATCCTGGGAGGACGACAGCGACTGTACTCCCCCTCAGCGGGGAAGCGAACAATAACAAGACAAAAACACTGTCAAATATATAAAGCAAAAATGTATGATAAAAACAAAATCAAAGTGAATGGCTGAAGAAAAAAGGAGGATTTCTGATGTAAAAACCATAGTTGCTCAGAAAACTGGCATAATAAAAAACATTCTCTGATGTAAATTCCTATTTTTCTCTGAGACGGTGTAGTTTTGATCGATGTGTCAGATGGTGTGAAGAAAGGAAGCAGCTTGTTGTCTTGGTATTGTGCTCCCAGTGTATTTCAGAAAGCTTTAACGTCTGTTCTGATCACAATAAAAAGAAAATTAAAAAAACAGAAACTGGAGCTGTGCTCATGTTCTTAAAAACTGTGTGTCTGTCTGTCTGTCTGTCTGTCTGTAATGCACTGGCTCCTGCTTTGCTCCTGTTCAGCCCTCTTTTACTTTCTTTTTTCTTCCCAGCCGGTTCATCACTATTGCAAAGACAGAGCGGCTACTAGCTGATGAGATAAGATATTTAATTGTCCAGTTAATCTATATACATCTATATATAATAAAACACCATGCTTTCATGTATTATATTGTAAAAAAAGGAATACACACATATTTAAAATAAACACCTTTATGCACCAGCAATAAAACACCAATATACACATTGATTCTATATGCAGTCATAATTCATATATAGAACATTTTAAAATCTACTTTACTCCCTTAACCTTGGAGAAAACCATTTCAGTATTTCTTCATACAAAAAGGGTGACAGGTAAAGAACCACAGATTTGTTTTATTTTGTTTTTTGTAATTAGGTTGACTAACACTAAATGTTTACAGTATATAATAAATGTTTCTACTTTTTTTCTTACCATCATATTACTCCTGTATTTTTGCTTCTATAAAAACATGCACACATTAATCTATGAATGTCTCAAAATTAGAAATAAATCTTGAACACTTTAATTTAATGAAGGTAAAAAGACCAAATATATTTTTCTAGCACTGGGCCACTTCTACAGGATTTGCAAGCAGGAGAAAGAGAGGGATTTTTCTTTTTTTTTTTTACATTATTAACGCCCATTTGCTTATGTATCAGGTTACAACATACCTACAGTTTATTTATATAGCACATTTAGGTAGCAAAACATATATATTTATAGTTCAATGGAAATAAAACCTATTTTACTGATACTTATTTTTAAATTCTATATTTTGAGTGATTTGTCTAAATCTTTCAGATGTAAATCACTTCAGATTTCAACATATGTAAAACAATTTGCATATGTAATATAATTTTCTATACCAAATACTGTTTGATTTGATGAAATAGAGTATTTTTCTATTAAAAATTGTACACTTGTTTTATTTATTTTTTTTATTAGCAGCTTACAGTCCTGTACATCTCCTAATGAAGATCCATTATCCATTCCTTGTACTAAAGTTGTCCTAAAAAGGGTCAACAAGTACGCATTACACAATATATAGAAGTAGTAAGATTTTGAAAATAATAATAAGGGCAGAGTTGACATAGGGGGATTGTCTGATGTGATACTATAGAGGATAATATATGACAACTCACCTCTGCTTAGTTTTTTTCCCTTTCTATTTATTTAGCCTTCGTTTAACAGAGCAGCTGAAGGTCAAAGAGTCACGTCATTTGTTTCCAGTTTGTCAGTGTTAGTTTTCATAGGGAAATTTGCTGTTTAAATCACCCTTCCTCTCAATGTAAAACAGTATGAAAACTAACGTCCTGAATGGCAAAACAAAGGTTAAGGTTAGACAAGAATCATGTTAACCCTTTACCTACGAGGCCAAAAATGCTTTAAGTCAGGAGTCTTCAACGTTTTCCAGGCCAAGGACCCCCAATCTGATGCAGAGATGCGGGGACCCCCTAATTATATATATTATATAAAAATGTATTATATCAAACTGGTCCTATAGTCACTCTCTAACAGATGGAGTAATGTAACGAAAATACTTTTGCCCTGGGATTATTAAAGTATTTCTGATTCTGATTACTGGTTGATGGGTCAGGTGTTGTGAATGAAGCCCAGCCTGAAAGAGCTCCTGTGTGTCGCTGAATGTGAGCATTGATGACTGAAAGACATCTTCTGCCTCTATTTATTGTTGAATTCATGTTAATGTGGATTTAAAGACATTTCAATTAGTGGAAGAAATTGCAGGGGAGAATAAAAAACAAAACAACGTTTTATCAACCAAAACTTTCACGACCTCCATGCAGTACCTCCTTGGACCCCCTAGGGTTCGAGGACCCCTTGTTGAAGACCTCTGCTCTAAGTTTTAAATATTTTGGTTCTTTTACTCAATTTTCCAGCACCTGGTTCTGGTCCAATTTACATTATAATGAGTTGTCAGCAGGGAAGGGACCCCTCATAAAGTATGTAGTTGCGCCCATGATAAAATTCTATAACAAAACATTGATCTGCCTCTAGTCGGAGCTGTCGCTAGCATCGCCAGTTAGTTTGAGTCTTTATATAGACAAGGTCTTTTCTTGCTTGGAAACATGCAAATTGAAACCGACGAGCGGGTCGTTTTGTTCCATTGTTATATCTGAAAGCTCTCTATGATTCTGAAGGTCGGTCGCTGTTGGAAAACTAACAGGGTCTATCTCTATCAGTATTGTTAATTGGTGGTGCTATAGAGCTGATTATTATGATAAATGGTAAACGGCATGTACTTAAATAGCGCCTTTTTTCAAGTCAGGAGACTTGAAAAAAGCGCTTTACACTACATTCATTCACCCATTCACACACACACTGATGGTGGCAAGCTACATTGTAGCCACAGCTGCCCTGGGGCTCACTGCCGTACACTGGCGCCACCGGGCCCTCTGACCACCATCAGTAGACAATGCAGGTGAAGTGTCTTGCCCAAGGACACAACGACAATGAATGTCCGAGCCTTCGATTTCAGGGCAAACTCCTACATCCAACGCCCCTGTCATCATTTTATTTGGTCCAACATAACCTTAGAGGCATTAATGCTGATACTGGCACAGACATTTTTTAGTTTATAAACCTAGGTCCTCTTTTATTCAGAATTTATATAAACTGGTGATTTTTTTCCAGAGGACACAGTTCTTGATGGCACTGGAGACACTCCTACTTATGCCATTACACTTTTGCAGAGAGCATTAAAAGATCCCCTTAGAGTCTTGGGGAAATAAAATGGAGGGTCACACATTCACGTATCTGAGCATTTTGAGGATGGCTCCCTAAGTTTTAAACATGGAGAATGTGGAGAAGAAGGTTAAAATTGAAGCTGGGTTTTGGATTGAAAAAAGTTCTGTTTTTTATTCATTGGTAGAAAACAGCTTGTCAGTGGAGTTTTGTAAATGTTTGCTTAACTTGCTTCTTCACAATTCTTGAGTTTTTCCTCTTTTCTGAGGTTCATTACAAACTGCAATAAGTAAACAAACTATTGGTCAGGTGTGGCTGGTTAAAATAATACCCTTTGGTTGAGTTTTATTTATAAGGCATTACCTCGGCTGCTTATTGCTTAAATCTATTCTGCAACTAGACCGGGAAATTAAGCTTAAGCGTAAATTCAATCTGGAAGATTCTTATCAGCTTTACCTGAAACACCTGCGATGTCCCTTGTTCACCTCCAGCCAATCAGCTCAGGGGCCGCACCTTCTCCAAAGCTGCTCATCTTGCCCAGCTTCTCTCTCCCGAATGCAAATTAACTTTCACCCATCTCCTCCCTCATTGTCAGTCCCACTCATCCTCTGGCTTATTCCACCACCAGTGTCCGGGCCATGGGAAAGATTACTCTAATCCTTTTCTAGGTTACTCATCCAAGCAAATGTTGATTCACAGCATCTTCTGCCAGAACTCCAAAGAACTTATTTAATTTATGTCTTTATCTGCTTCTATCTCCTTCAACCATAGTTTGCCTCAGCAGATGGCCGCTCACACTGAGCCTGGTTCTGCTGGAGGTTTCTTCCTGTTAAAAGGGAGTTTTCCCTCTCCACTGCCTTAGATAGAATTATTTAGACAGATTTATTTTGTCATTTTGTATACACGACTGTATACAAAAAGAAATTTCATTTAAGACAGCTCTAGCCAATTTCATTTTTTCTTTAAGTGCAGCCTTGAAAACAGAAATAAATACATTTAAAAAGTAATATAAACATATGGCTGTATATTTACAGTCCTAACATTATTGTTTTATTTTTATAAATAAAATAACCCATTTTACACAACATTCAGAAGTCTAATGGCAGTGGAGAAGAAACTTATGCAATCTGCTGGACCTGCATCAGATGCTACAAAGTCTCTTCCCCGAGGGCAGCAGGGAGTAGTCCATGGTGGGGGTGTGAGGGGTCATATTTGAGGTTACGGGCTCTGGACACGCAGCGCTGGAATGAAATGTCTTTTATGGAAGTAAGAGGAGCCCGAATGATCGTCTCTGATGTTCTCACCACTCTTCTCACCGTTTTCAAGTCACTCATTTTCTTCCAGTCTGAGGCGCTGCAGCCTTCACACCACACAGTGAGACAGCTGGTCAGAAATCTCTCTATGGTGCTTCTGTAGAAGGTGATGAGGATGGGTGGGGGTTGGTGGGCTCTCCTCATCCTCCACAAGTACATGCGCTTCTGTGCCCTTTTGACCAGTGAGGTGGTGTTTACATTCCAGGCTAGGGTGTCTGTGATGTGATCCCCCAGGAATTTGGTGCCGTTGGCCACCTCTACAGCTGAGCTGTTGATGACCAGTGGAGTGTGGTTAGGCCGGTTCTTCCTGAAGTCCAAGATTATCTCCTTTGTCTTCTCCCCGTTCAGGATCAGGCTGTTATCTTTGCACCAGTCCACCAGCTGCTCCACCTCCTCTCTGTAGTCCAGGTCGTTGTCGTCTCTGATTAAGCCGACCACCGTGGTGTCATCTGCAAACTTAACAATGTGATTGGTTGGGAACCTGGGAAAGCAGTCATTTGTCATTAGGGGAAACAGCAGGGGGCTCAGGATGCAGCCCTGAGGGGAGCCTGTGCTTAGGATGATGACATCAGAGGTGTTGTGTCTGACCCGGACTGTCTGAGGTCTATTGGTGAGGAAGTCTACCAGCCATTTTTAAAGCGTTGTATTGAAGCCCAGCTGTTCGAGTTTGCCCATCAGATGCTGTGGGATGATGGTGTTGAAAGCTGAACTTAAGTCCAGGAACAGCATCCGCACGTGG